GCGGAAGGTATTAAACTGATAAAAATAGTACTAAACACACCACTCCTATCTGGTGTCACATTAGCTTGACCGCGCAGTGCCCCAATTTTGCAGTAAGAGGACCGACCAAGCCTCTTCTTCCATCTCCCTGTTACAAAAATCAATGCCGTGTACACGTCCACTGATAGGAGACGCGGAAGGTATTAAACTGATCAGAACAATACTAAACACACCACTCCTTTTTTTTTTGGTGAGGCTTTACAGGACAGAGTGCTTCTCCACGGGACATGTTAACTCACGGGCAGCTGGCTCATCAAGGAACCACAGCAGCTTTCCATGTACAGGTAAGACACGTGCAGCCGGTAAGGGTTCAGGCTCTTCTTCCTGGAGGACACGCTGCAAGCCTGTTAAACGAGGTGACCTTGCTCGGGTCCCAGGTGTACGGTTCCTAAAATGGCTGCCATATACACGTCCACTGATAGGAGACGCGGAAGGTATTAAACTGATCAGAACAATACTAAACACACCACAAATAAGGTTTCTCTCCTGTATGGCTCCTCAAATGATGCTTAAGATTAGAAGCGACTGAAAAGCATTTCTCACACTCCGAACAAAAATATATATTTTTAACATTCTCTCCACTTTGAACGAAATGACGTTTTGGGAAGAGATTAACATAATTAAACACAGGCAGTAAAAATACAGTTTTTAGCCATACCCTGTAACTTTAAAACTACACATCCCATCTTCATAATTACATATTTGGAATCAGCACACTTAAAACATAAACATAACCAAAAATCAGTCAAATCCATCCAGGGGTTAAAAAGTTAGCTGGAGGTCCCTTTATGACCGACCGCAAGCACATTTTCCTGCCCAAAACAGTTCCATAGATTTGGGCTGTGAGGTCGGTCTATTTCAGGCTGAAAAAACGACTAAGTCCCATCGCCGAATGGGACTTGGTCTCTGCAGCTGAAATAAGGCTGAAAAAAACGGCTGAAAAAAAGACTAAGTCCCATCGCCGAATGGGACTTAGTCTCTGCAGCTGAAATAAGGCTGAAAAAAACGGCTGAAAAAAAGACTAAGTCCCATCGCCGAATGGGACTTAGTCTCTGCAGCTGAAATAATTTCCCATTTACTGAACCAAGTGGGAAATAGCAAGGCAGGCACAAAGGGTTTGCACCAGGTCTGGGGACACAGGGGACACCGTCTTAAAGGGGCCGTGTCCCCAACAAGTCTGGGGACACGGCCTTAAAGGGGCAGTGTCCCAATCTTCCTGATGTCCCAAAAAAGGTGTTTAAAGGGCCAGCACCAGTCACATAAAGAGTCCATAAGCCCCAATATGCCCACCGACAGTCTTAAAGGGCCATACACACCAAATAAAAGTGCATACATTTTCACAATCTCCCAGGGGCCATAGTCATGCGGGAGGAGGCTGGCAAGTAGGCTTCTCCACAACCCAGGGAAGCAGGGCAATTTGCCATTTAAAGGGCCCGTTACAAATAGCAGTTTGTAACAAGGTGTCAATCCATATCTGCCAAGTGACCCGATGTAGGGGGACCAGTCCCTATTCTGCTCTGTGTCAGTGTGTATCAGGGAACCTTAGGACAGGTGTCAATCCATATCTGCCAAGTGACCCTATGTAGGGGGAACAGTCCCTATTCTGCTCTGTGTCAGTGTGTATCAGGGATCCTTAGGACAGGTGTCAATCCATATCTGCCAAGTGACCCTATGTAGGGGGACCAGTCTCTATTCTGCTCTGTGTCCGTGTGCATCAGGGGCTCTGAGGACAGGTGTCAATCCATATGTCAAGGTGTCAATATGTCATATGTCAGGTGTCAATCCATATTGATTGTGATTTAGGAATGTTAGGTGATTTCTGCCCTTTATGGATTAAAACCAGACTCTGTATCAACTGTGTAATTTTCCATGGGAGTTTTGCCATGGATCCCCCTCCGGCATGCCACAGTCCAGGTGTTAGTCCCCTTGAAACAACTTTTCCATCCCTATTGTGGCCAGAAAGAGTCCCTGTGTGTTTTAAAATTCGCCTCCCCATTGAAGTCAATGGCGTTTCGGGCGGTTCGCCGGTTCGCGAACATTTGCGGAAGTTCGCCTTCGCCGTTCGCGAACCGAAAATTTCGGGTTCGCAACATCACTATTTAGGGTTTGTTTCCAATACTTATCTAATGGTGACCTAGTGGATTTAGTTTGTTATATGCAGATAACATTTTACTTCATTTTCTTTCTCTTGTTTTAAACACGATTTGCTCACTACTAGGTTATAGCTTGCTACACTGTAGATACAGCGTCTCCATGACGAAAGTTGTAAACGTTGCCATGGATACGGCGTTTTTGACGTCATCACGCATGGACCGGAGGTCAGCGTGGGGGCACACGGTAGGGCGCACATGCGCGGTGTTTAGTAGTAAACGCCGGCGAAGTTTTTTCATCACCTGGGGTAAGTTATTCATGATTAATGTTATTAGGTATATATTTGAGTTATAGAATGTATTTGCACTGTTTGATCCTGATGAAGGTCCCTGCGTGGACCGAAACGTTGATCGTTTTTGTTTCTTGGATGGAATAAACCACACTTTATATTCAGAAGTCCGTGAGTGCAGCCTGCTTTGTTTCGTTTAATATATATATATATATATATATATATATATATATATACACACATATACATACACTGCATGTCCAAAAAAAAAGTTGCCACCTGGATTTAACTAAACAAATAGGTAAGAGCCTCCTACTGCATGGGTGATTTACTTTTAGCTGGCAACAGGTTATTTAACCCCAACTGATGCAATGAGTAGCTTCTCATTTCTTAAACAACCATGTCGAAAGACACATCCCGTGGTTGTGGAAAAGATGTTAGTCTCTTTGAGAAGGGTCAAATCAATGGCATGCTTCAAGCAGATAAAACATCTAAGGAGATTGCAGAAACGACTAAAATTGGGTTAAGAATTGTCCAACTCATTATTAAGACCACAAGGAGTCTAGCAAAACCGAGTATTTGCACAAATCTCACTCTAGTTGGGGACACCAAAACAATACCTGCCTAGATGACACACTTAATGTTATATTCCCTTCTATATTTGTTTAATTTATGTACATCAGTTTTCGTTATTTTTCTGTATAACTTAAGGACACTTAAGGGGAAGAGAGAGAAACCAAACAGAGCAGGTTACACTTGCTTATGACGTCTGTCACGACAGGTCCATTAACCACCGTATACCCCGTATATAGTACTTATAGATGTCGTAATGTATAAATGCATTGTTTAATATATGATGTTTATAATACATTGTCTATAATCTCTGCATGGCCACGCCCTGGAATTGGAAATTAAATGCGGCTTTACTGAGGGACCCAGAAGTGGTCGAGGCAGTTAAAACAGAAATCCAAGAATACTTTACCCTGAACGGGGGAGCAGACACCCCACCAGCCACGGTGTGGGCAGCCCATAAGGCGGTTATCTGCGGGACCCTCATCAGGTTAGCCATAAACAAAAAGAAGTTGAAAATGCAGAAGCTGCAGGATTAGCTGCGCGCTCTCCGTACAGCGGAACAGAGACACAAACAAGACCCGACCCTACACAACACACATAGGCTATCTGAACTCCACTTAACGGTCAAAAACACCTTAGTGGATGACACAGCCAGAGCCCTGATGTGGACAAGAAGGACATACTACGAGAAGGCGAACAAGATGGACTCCATTCTGGCCGCAATCCTCAGACCCAGACAAAGACGCGCACACATAACCAGAATTCAAGATGACAGAGAACGCATACTAAGCACACCATTGGACATAGCCGGAGTCTTCACAAAATTCTATGCGACATTATACAATCACACACCACAAACAGAAGAAGGGAAGCTGGAGGATGAGGTAGCAAATCGCGCGTACCTCGACCAGCTGGACTTGCCAAGGTTGCGGGGGGCAGCGGTAGGAGACCTGGGGAGACAGATTACAGTGGACGAAATAGATGCAGCCATATCGGTCCTGAAAGGGGGTAAAGCCCCAGGACCAGAAGGCTATGATGGTACCTACTTTAAGACGTTTAGAGAAGAACTGACCCCGTATATGAAGATGTAGTTCAACGACCTGATGGAAGGTTCAAGGTAGATGGTGAGATGTCCCTAGCAAGTATAGTGTATAGTCTAAATCCCAAAACTTGGTAGGGACGACCTGGATCCAGGCAACTACAGACCTATCTCACTTCTCAACCATGACGTTAAAGTCCTGGCAAAAATCCTGGCAATGCGGCTGTCCCCACTTCTGAAAACCTTGGTCCATGCGACCAGGTGGGCTTTGTCCTGAGCCGGCAGCTTTTTGAAAATACGAGAAGAATCATAGATTTGATATGGCGGCAGGCCGCAACAGGGGAGCCGTCCCTGATCCTGTCTTTAGACGCAGAGAAAGCGTTTGACTGGGCCCAGTGGCCATACCTATTTGCACTCCTGTCACGGATGGGTCTACCTGCTCCCTATGTAGCAACCATACGGGCAATGTACACAGATGCCAGAGCACAGGTCAGAGTGGCCGGCGTGCCCAGCAGCCCTTTCCGCTTGGGAAATAAGAGGAGACAGGGATGCCCCCTGTCCCCGCCGCTATTTATCCTAGCACTAGAACCACTACTTAGCAAGATCATCTCCATGCCAGTTCTGGCCGAGACCCTAGAGGAATATGGCAACCTATTGGGTTATAAAGTCAACCTAGGCAAGTCTTGCGCCCTCCCACTCAACATGACAGACATTGACACGAGCGATATCACCACAACACACCACATTCAGATATCCCGTAAATCTATTAAGTACCTGGGCATACAAGTGACAGCTGACCCGAAGCAACTGTATGCACAAAACTACATAGTTACATAGTTACATAGCTGAAAAGAGACTTGCGTCCATC